CCTCGTTTCTTCCCATACTTTCCCTACTCAGCCTCAAAAAACCCTCCTCATATTTTAACACAAAATTTAAATACCATCTCTGCTGTAGTTCCTTCCCAACTTTTGGATCCAGATTTAGCCATCCCTTACTCTGAGTTTCCACAGCTCTTACATTGAAGTCTAATATAAACTTACCGTTTTTATAGTACTCACTGGAGTATATTTTCTACAATGAGATAGTGGACTTCCAGAGAGCAGGGATCATTTCTGAAATCATAGTTTTGAAGATTCCTCACCCACTCAATGACTTCCATAGTGTTTCATACATGTTTCACTTGAAAATGGATATTAAGACAAAATTTCACCAAAATAATTCACACATATGTTCAGGGACCAGAGAAAGGCATGTAGCTGTGCTCTGATATTTAGATACTTTCTCTAATTTTTCCTGTGCAATTTGATGGAAAAACAATCTAGAGTTAGAAAACCTGAGTTTATTTCTAGTCCTTACTTCTCGACTTTCTTCCTGACTTTCTTACTTCTGTGTATTTTTGGACATATTATGTACCTCTGGACAATTAGGTACCTCAGATACCACATCTGAACAGAGGGAATAGATGACTAACTTCCTTAAATGATTATATTATAAAATAAGATCATAAAATGTAATACGTAAGAGGTATTTTGGAAAATAAGATTGTACGGTTATTGGATAAGATCTGCTGAATCATTGGAGTCTGCAATGGGAGAACCAGATGTGAATGCAGAAAAGCAAGCAGCCGGTCAGCATGCTTTGCCACTGGGGAACAACCTTTCTGTAGCAAATCACAGAGACAGAGGAAGGTCAATATTTAAAATAGTTGGAAGAACTGTTTAAACTCCGTAATACTTTTATACTATATCTTTGAGATTTTATCTATTCTTTTTCTTCTTTTTTTGTGTGTAAGGGGAAGGGATGGTGGGGCAGTAGAACAAAGTAAGATAGAAGGCTAAGAAACTGCCTAAGGTACATCAAATTCATTGAATAATTGGTTTATTTAATTTTTTTGGATGTAATTGCAGTTTGTGTTCATATAAATTTGTGTTCTGCACATAAATTTGTGTTCTGCAAATTTATATGATGTTATTTCATACAATTTATATGCACATATATTTATGTTCTACACTTTTTCATTTGATGTTTTATAAGTAGTTTTCTCATTGTGAGCCATAACTTTATTATTTTTAAAATAAATTTTATTATGTATATATAAAGTATATAATATGATATAGGATAATTATAGATGTATAATGAAGTGGATTTAATATACCCATCACGTCACATAGTTACCCTTTTTTATTTTGGGGGCAAGAGCAGCTAAAATCTATTCATTCAGCAAAAATCCCAAATGTAGCATAATATTATTACCCATAGTCCTCATGTTGTACATTAGATCTTTTGACTTGTTCATCCTATGTATATGCTAATTTGCATACATATTTTTTACTTTATATGATCCAATTTTGATTCAGTTTATCCTGTTCAAAAATTAGAAAGTAGTGGAAAAACAGCATACATGGGATCAGAAGGGCTGCATTCTAGATTTGGATTTGTCACTACTGTACAAATAAACTTGGCAGGTCCCTTAAATTCTCAAGTCCTCAGTTTCTCCATCATCCAAATAGGGTGGGGACTATTTCTTTTGTGTCCTTATTTTCTCTGAAGTTAATAACACTCTTAGACAATACTAGGTAGAATTTTTAATTATATAAATATAAGTACAAGTATATATTTTATGTTCATACAGAATAGAAGTATTATGCATAGTGTTTAATTAGATTAAAGATTAAGAGGCATAGATGTATAAATGAGAATAATAGTCTAGATAGATAGGATCTTTTCTAAATATAACTTTCAAGATAGAAAGAGTGCACTAAATAGCCCTATTTTCTTCTTAATCCTGGTGAGACTCTTTGCTCTTTCTCCTTAGAGTGTTAAACATAATGGAGTAGAGTTAGATGAAACATCACAGAAATCTATAACTTATTACCCCCAATGACCAGGCATAAGTTATTTCTCTCGGCTTCAGTTTTTCCATCTGTAAAAATGGAAAAACCTACTCAGATCGTGGTGAAGACTGAATATAAGGTATGAAATACACGTATCCCAAACCTGACACACAGTGGAGCTTCATAAGTGTTCATTTGCTTCATCTTTCCTCTCTGTAGTAGCTAGTATAGACTCGTGCATAATATGTGCTCAGTTAACTCTATTGCTTACTTGTGGTTTGAAATTTCTCACACATAGCACATTTATCCACTGACATATTCTAAATCTTGTGGGAATTCTTATTCCAGTAAAGCTGCAAATCTTTTCCAACGTTCTTACTCACAGAAGTATATTTTAGTAAAATATGGATTTAAAAAACCTAATTCTCAGTAAGCATAGAAATCTTCAAAATCGGCAAGATTTTATTCATTTAAAAAGTATGGTCACAGTAAATTCAGTTTCTCATTCATGTTTAAAGCTAACTCAGACCTGACTCTCAGAATTGGAAACAGATGATAGCTTGATGCATTTTCTTTAGTCTCTTCAGAAGAGCTGAGCTCTCCTGGGAATCCTTTCACACAACCCACTGTACAAGGGGGTGCACAATCTTTTCACACACCTCTGTTGATCTAGATCTTCACCTACTTTAAAAGCGGCTTTAAAAATATTTAGTTCAACCTTCAAGAGAAGGTTAATATTGAGAATCAACACTTGAATATTTACATACTGATAGCATCAGCTAAATCAAAGGGAGAAAGTCCAAGGACCAGAAGTAATTTGATCATTGTGATTCCAAACACCTCGCCATAAGGACAGCATTTTTCAGGTGTGGGATTGTAGTGTGAGCAATATTCTCTGGAGTAATAGCAAAGTCTGCCACTTATATAATGAATATGATTAAACGATTTACCCTTTTTTATTTTTCACCTTTGCTGTGGGTAAGCTGGCCACTCCTGTCTTTTTATCCCACTGGAAAAGTTTTGCTCAAGTATTTAATTATGAATTGGTTTCTTTTGTACAAAGCAAAGGTGAGAGCAAGCCAGGCCACCCTGTCAGCCACGTATTATGTTGGAAAGCCCTCGTCATTGGAGTGGTGACAATGATCAGTCAGTACAAATAATACTGGGGTGACTTCAAGATAGAAGACATTAAATCGCTATTATAACATCATAATATCACAAGAAATGTGTATTGCTGAAGGATGTTGCTGTCCAACATTTCTTCCCTCCAAGTTCCATTTCCTATGAAATGAAATGAAGTGGGCTAAATACTAGTCACTCTATTCCCACATTCCCCAAGCTCCTGATGAAAACAAGAAAATATGAAGCCAGCAAACAAGGGTAATACAGGGGTACACTATGGGACTATTGCAGCATCCTACAGACCTCACAATCTGCTGGTGGCATTTTCTGTTGATTGGCCTCTTGCCTGTTTTTCAGATCTGTTTCTGTCTCATCTCGATATTTTGTTCTCACCTTGTTTCTTTCTTCATCATTGTGTCTGACTGACTGTATTCTTCTAAAGCATAGCTCTGTTTTATATAAGAATATGTTCTTTCACCTCCCTCCTACTTTCTCTCTTTCCTTAAATCCTCACTCATTTTGATTCCTTCCTTCTAAAACTATTGTATTAAAAAAAAAAAGGATAGTCTTTAAAAAATTCCTCATTCATATGCAATTGCAAAGCTTTTCATTTCACATTTCCCTCCTGGAAGAGATGACTAATTTTTCTCACCTTGACATGCATTTAGCTACTGACAACATCCAGATCTACCTATTTCTTTCCTTTTTCTGGTAATTCCCTGTTGGGGTGGGGAGAGTCAGGAGTGCTCGATTTTATGTGTCTTGCTATGTTTCTGACCTCTTTACTTTTGCTGTCCATTAAAGTCACAATCTCTTTCCTCTTTTGTCACTGTTCAGCTTTCTGATTGTGGACCCACCACCAAAGTATTTAGCTTTCTAGTTTCTACTACCATGAATGTTGTCTTCAACTTATTTTTTTTCTTTTTTGTCAAGCACTACAACTATCGAATTGTTTTAATACATTTTGTCCATGCTAATTCTAATATTTCTTATCTTTTAATATTCCCAAAGATGTATCCCCAGTGTGGATATTTAATATTTACATAAAAGCTATCTTTATCTGTTTATTTTCTAGTGATAGCCATAGCCCGAAGCTACCCAACATTTAATCAGCCTCAAACACCACTACATATCTATTTCTTTAATTTGTTATATTTGCACTTTTAAGTTCCTCGAGAATGCCAAGAACTGACAACTTCTGTTATTTATGTGCCAAAACAAATGTGCTAATCTTCACATTAATTTCCACCCCAAACTTCTTTATTCTTGCAGCTTTCTCCTTTAATTGAGTTAACCACAAAGTTTAGTTTGATCACCTGCACTGGTCATACAATGAATATATTTCTTAAATCACTGTCACTTTCAAAGACCAACTTTCTTTTCAGTATTCAAAGCCCACACATGCTATGTCATACCATAGACAAGGAAAAGGAGACAGGAACCTCCTAATAAAAGGAACAAACACAACAATCAGCATTGATAATCCTGAGTATGTACCTGTGTTTGTATCATTGTGTTTAACTGAGTATTTAAAGCAGCTCTTTATGTGAATATTTTTGTGAACAGGAACATATCTTTTTTCATATCATGGCTATTTAATAAATATTGTTATTATTAATATTTTTTAAAAAGGCATATAAATTAAGAGCAAATATCACCCAGCATGAAATCAAAGGAAACAATTATCCTTTTAAAGTTCTGTATATCATTGCTGCTGTCTCTGCATTCTCCTGACTCATCAGCATCGCTTTAACAGTCCTGACACTTTTGAACATCCTGCCAGACAGACACTCTGTGTTTAACTACGAAAGCTAACCCCTAACAGCATCAACGATATCATTTTTTTTTCACTCTATAGAGTTGCCTCTATAGAGGTCCCTGCTTCCCCAGCATTTGGTGTGAAAACTTACCGCTTTTACCAACTCCCCCTGCTCCCAGCATTACCACCTTGTACTCTCTGGACCCGCCTGATGCGCTGCCCGGAGAGCAGCTGGCTTCATTTTCTACCTCCATCTTCCCCGAGGGACTGGAGGAGAAAAAAAAAAAAAAGAAGGAAAAAGTCACCCGTGTCAGGTGGTTGCTCGGATATTAACAACTCTAAAACTGTGTCAAAGGAAAGGTTTAGTAAGAGGTAAGAACCATCAGCGTCAGGCTGACTGCTGGTCCTCTGCTCGAGCGGGTCTCATAGCAACCACTTCAATTGCTTCCAATAAAAATCTGGCTTTTGCATCCCCCCCTCCTTCCAATCCCTTCACTCTTTCACGTCTCCCACGATTTCTCTCTCCCTCTCTTCCCCCTCCCCCACTGCTTTTTTGTTTTCTTCCTTCCTCTGATTCAATTTCTCTTCTTCACTCTCTGTCTCTCTCCTTTCTCCTTCCTGCCCACCCTCTGCACAATCGCAGTTGTTAGAGGCACACACATATGTGACTCCCTTACAGGCTGGGCTGCTAGAAGGGAGTGAATCTGAGACTTCATGGGAGATGCTGTGTCTCACAGGCTGACTAGTTGTAGCTCCAACTTCAAAGACACTGTTTTCTTTTAATCAGAATCAATTAATTAAGAAGGATTTATAATACTTATGTCCTTGTTTCTTATCACCATTCTCCTGCATGGTTCTTTTTCTGGGAAAAGGGAAAAACAAAACAAGCAAAAACAAAACAAAACAAACAAAAACAAACAAAACAAAACATTAACTCAAGGCTCTTAAGGATGAATCTTGAGTGCTGTTGAAATAATACCCATCCAGCAGCAAATGTTTCAGTTCATTTGACAGTTGCAGTTCTAACACAGAAAGGTAATTGAATTAAATCATTATGTTTGGACATGGATCATACTTGTTTACACTAAGTTATTAGAAACAACCTAAAACACAAGGACCCTGTCAAGCATGAAAGAGACCATTGATAAATATTTTTACTGACAACTGTGGTCGTATAAAAGATCACAGAAGACTATTTTTCAAATGTCCAAACTCCTACCCCTTATTTGAATTCTTCTAAAGCTTTGGGGTCTTTGCTTTTCTTGGAAGAACTTCTAAATTATAGAGGACTTAGGATGTTTTCAATAATTCCTAATTGTCATATGTAGAACGTATCTTTCAATCAAGATCATGATGTTCTGTATGTTTATGGTTTATTTTCTGACTATAAAATGTGAATCCTGATGATATGCAGTCAAGTGTTTGGTGTGCAGATAGGCTTGTCTTTCTAGCTAGATTTTAAGCTCTTCCTGGAAATGAACTATATTTAATCCATTCTTTATGACTCTATAGTGTACGATCACTTGCTGAGCACTGAGTAGGCACTCAATATATACTTCCTGGTCATGAAAGAGACTGCAAATTGGCATACAGAAGAGCACAAGCTTTGGAGCCAGATTGCTTATATTCAGATCTGGACTCAGCCACTTACATGCTACATTGACCTTCAGAAAATTACTTTACCTCTCTTGCCTCAGTTTCTTTATCTATAAAATGGTTAATTAAAAGCATAATTAACTAAATGAGTTAATGTTTGCATAGTGCTTAAAACAGTGTCTGGCAAGCTATAAGCACTACATAGGTATATGATTTTATGATTATTTTATTATTATTTTCAATCAGTGGTGCTATCAGTTCACTGTTTATAAATACTCACCAGAGAAGACGAGATCATCTTTTCATGTGTTTGTTGGCCATTTGTATATCTTCTTTCTCAAAGTGTCTGTTCAAGTGTGTTGTTTATTTTTATGCGACATGTTTGTTTCCTTATTGAATTTTGAGAATTCATTATTTTGGATGTAAGTATTTTATCACATACGTGTTCTGCAAATATTTTCCCCTAGTTTTGTGTCTTTTCTTAGCAATATTTTTCAAAGAACAGACGTTTTATATTTTGATGAGTCCAATTTATAATTCGTTTATGGATCATGCATCAGGTTTAAATGAAACCTTGTCCAATGGTTCTATTCCCAATTCTCTTTACATCTTCTTTATCCTTTGATTGTAAATTCACTCACTATGGTAGGTCAATTTATCACCGTTCTGTGGCAACTGGCAAGTTTGTAACTCTGGACCAAATTTTCCCTTTGAACTGCAGAAGTGAATCTGACTGCCTCCTCGATGTTTCTCTAAAAACCCTGCTTGTATCTTAATCTTAGTGTGGCCAGAAAGACATCACCCTCATCCTCAATAAATAAAGTCAACACTATTTTCCATCTTTTCCATCTTTGTAGGAAGCATCCCTATTCTCCAAGTTCTAGCTTTAATTCTACCTCTTCTAATATTTGACCTTCATACTTGAAACCATTTCATAACTTTTCTTCCCTGACTACAAGCTACCTGGCCTTTCTTCCCTTCCATAGTGTTCAATTCATCCTATATACCAACGTCAGGGAAATCTACCTAAGATGTCAACCTGACTGACCCTTATTTTACACATATTTATATATCAGATGTCTAAAAAGTACAACCCAATAGATTAGAAGAGCACATAGGGACACATAGCATTTATTCCAGTCTCATGTTCCAATGTAGCCTTCACATTCCATACAATAGAGACAAACAACGTGGGCTACTTGCCTTTCCTACAACAAAACTATCATTTGCCTGATTGGATCTAATAAAGAACTGGGCTGTATTATAATTATCTTATAATTGTTTAATTGAAACTGTTCCTCAATGAAATGATATGAATAAATAATAGCATTTCGCTTCAAGGTCTTTCTGGTTTTTATTTCTAGTTGTGATGCCGGAATTCTTATGACCTTGAGCAAATCATGTGTCTCTCTAGCTATCCCACCATCTGTTACTCTGTTTTCCATGTCAGCCATTCTGATTTGGTGGAAGAGCATCGGAATTGTCCTGACAGCTGTGTCCTTGGTCTTGTTCTTTCTTTGCCACATTTAGTTTAATGCTGATTAAGAGAAAGGAATACATGGAAATATCTCATCACAGTAAACAAATGAATGGATTGCCAAATATGAATGAACACTACAAAAAGGAAATTCACTGGTGAATTTTCTTTCTTCTCAATTGTCAGTGTTAATGTAAATATTCCTCATGTGAAAGTGAGTAGGATTTTTTCCTATTTACATGCAAGAAAAAACAAAACAAAACAAAGTGTAGGGAGAGTTTTCTAGCTATAAAGCCTCTTTGTCTACCTCTTCTTTGGAATTTTAAGGCACTCCACCCTAGTACCTTCTCCTGAATTACTAAGGGTAAAAAATCCTCCAGATGATGACTAAATTTTGAAGCATTCTAATGCTACTGGTTTCCAGCTTTAGTTATTAAGTTTGGTGAGTTTGCCTGTCTCTTGCCTCAGATATGTAGTCAAAAGTCTGTGTTATACATTTATGTGTGTTTGTGTGTATGGGTGTGTGCTGGGGTATCTTCCAGGTATATAAATGCTGATGAAAATGGAGCTCTTAAGAAACCAAAATCATTTCCTGACAGATGCTTTACACTCAGGGAAAGTATTAAATGATTGGAGTCTGCATTCATTTCCTCTAACCTACCCTGGCAATTGCCATCCTTTCTGGATGGCACATCATTCCCTTTGAGTGCTCATCTCCATCAAATTAAGACTCAGGTGTTCAGTGTTTATTCATAGCCACTTGACTTGCTGAGCCAGCGTCCAAGTACACTCCATCTTGCCTCCATGTGTTGCTGCTGTTCACATCCCCAGTTCTTCTCAGATGGCAAAAGAGAAAACTAATTTAACAAGCAATTTCCTCAAAAGGAATTCATTAGTTCTATTTGTACGATGTCTTTCTAAACTCCTTTAGCAAGTTCTAATGCGGCCAATCAAGGTGGTAGGTCTATAGAAGAGAAGTTCAGAGCATCCTGAGTTCTTTTCTTACCTTTCTAGTCACTGGCAGATGGAGTTTCTCATGCCTTTGTCTACAAAGCCACTTTTTCCTTCATTAGAGCACTTACTGTATTTATTATAGTGATTTGTTTACATTTCAGTCCACCTTAGTAAAATGTCATGACCTCTGCTATATCCAATTTTACCCCTACAGGGTTTAACACTGTCAACATAATTTCAACAAATTATATTGCATTTTAATGACCTGATTGTTTTTTATTAGCAATTCATGAACTGAGCAATATCTAGTCTACAAAATAGACAAAAGCTATGCTAGACATGGTATTTTTGGGAAGGCAGCTTGAGCAAGAACAAGGAAATAACAGAGTGCAAAAATAAGATTCATTAACATAAAGTTAAGCAGGTTACTTTAATGGGTTAAAACTGAGGGGGCTTCCTTACCATGCTGGCTCAGTTCAGCTGGGCCTCTTTAGATTAATTGATGTGAATCTCCTGGTTTTTCCTTCTTTCCTTTTCCTTTTCTTTTCTAAAATTTCAAAATATTATCTGGGTACAAATGTTCTTGGTAGCATGTATTGATTTTGTTATGCTTGAATCAGGGTTATAATTGTGCCCATCACCCAGTGTGCACTGTACTTGTTAGGTAGGTTTTTGTCACTATCCCCTCCTTCCAACTCTCCCCTGCTTAATTTCCACTGAGTTTTACTGCCCTTTGGACATATGTGTTCTTATCGGTTAGTTACAATTTAATAGAAATACATGTGGTGTTTGTTTTTCCATTCCTCAGATACTTAGGATAATGGTCTCCAGTTCCATACAAAGTGTTGCAAAATGCCTTAATTAATCCTTTTTCATAACTGAGTAGTAGTATTCCACAGTATACACATACCACATTTTGTTAATCTACTCATGAATTGATGAGCACTAGGGATGATTCCACATCCTTGCAACTGTGAATTGTGCTGCAGGTGTATTTTTTATAAAATGATGAATTGCTAGATCAAATGGTAGGTCTACTTTTGGTAGACTGTCTATTTGCTCTGTTGATTATTTCCTTATCTGTGGAGAAGCTTTTTAATTTAATCAAGTCCAATTTATTTATTTTTTTGTTGTTGCTATGGTTACCATTGGGGTCTTCTTCATAAATTGTTTGCCTAGGCCAATATCTAAAAGACATTTTTCAACATTTTCTTGTAGCATTTTAATGGTTTCATGCATTATATTTAAGTCCTTTATCAACCTTGAATTAATTTTTGTGAATGGTGAGAGCTATAGATCCTGTTTCAATCTTCTGTATATGGTTATTCAATTTTCCCAGCACCACTTATTGAATAGGGCTTCTTTTCCCTGGTATACCTTGTTGTATGCTTTGTCAAAGTCAGTTGGATGTATATGGATGTTTTATGTCTATG